TGGAGCTGAACGCCTGCACAGAACAACTCAGTACGGATGAGTCCAATGGGCAAATTGCGAGACTTCGAAGTTCAGTACCACGTCCTTCCAATTCCTCGCCTGTTCCGGACCAGCAAACGCGCTCCATCGTCAGGAGACTGTTGCGCGAAGTTCCAAAATCGAAACGGTACTTATATAACGTTTTGATTACGTCATTGTTTTCAGAAGTTTATGTTCTCTTGGGACAGTAACTTTTTCCACAATTTTTGCTTCATTTCTCCTGTGTCCTTCTCATCGTGACGGTTGTACGATATGTACTAGATGAGCATCGATCGCCGACACATCAATCGTAACGATCGTCATAATGGGCTTGTCTATGTGGACCTATCTGAGTTTTTGAGGTCGTTCAATTTGATTTTGATCTTCCGTTATTAAAAACGGTACTAACATTGCCAATTTTGTTCTCCAGGTTCTGACCGCATGAAGGGCTGCTTATATTGTTTCTTTTGTTCTTAAATAGATGGAAGAGCTGAACTGAAGATGCTTGAAAATGGTATTCACTGGCATCAAAGTATCTGCTATACATCGATTTGGAATTGCTCCAAAAGTGTGCGTTGATCCCTGCTTGAGGGTGAACGCGAAGTGATTTTCTCCAAGCGGTCAATCAAGCGACTGACAATCCCGGGTCTTCTTTCTCTTTCAGGAGCTCTTTTTCTAGTTCTCTTCGCAATTTGAAACTTATTTTGCAGCATTGAGCAACTCTCCTCAACGCTTTGAAGAAAATTTGAACCCAAGTGTTTCCGGCCGATGCCGCGGCACGAGTGACGCAGGTATGGCCCTGCCAAGCCGTTTGGGCATCTGTCTCCTCTGTGGAACGCGCATATCCCGCATCGTTAGAGGGGGTGTGCGTCATATGGCGCGATCCCATTGGCATTGGAGCGCACAGGCCGTAATTACCACGTCCTGCTGTGGCCGGACAACTCGTCCGCGCAACACATTCTGTTCCGTTTATCTTGCCCCACTCGTTTTTTAGATCTTTGGGACTCAGCAAGATTTTTGAGGGCCAAATTATCACATCGATCAATTGCTGAAGTCTAGCAGCTGTGTGATACGGACGAGTTGTCCTGGATACTGTGCGCTCTAATGCCAATGGGATCGCGCCATATGACCGCCTCCCCTTAGAGGCCGCCTGCCCGTCGACTTGACATATTGGGTTGGAGCATAATATCGTAGCGTTTTTTTTTCGAGCGTATAAATTCAATCAGTACAAGTATCACCGAAAAACCGCTCATATTATTTGAAAGTACTCTTCCCGCTCTACAAAACCGTGGTTGTCATTTTCTTCAACATTGTAGCTGTACTCAGGTATAGAGCTTAGAAGTTGGAAAATCCAGACGGCGAAAATCGGCGTTTCGACAGCTGCTATTTCTCGGTTCAAATAAAGAAGAAAAACGCCAAATTGGAAGTACTTTTGAATCCATTAGTTTTAATCGAACCTGGCTCTAATCTACCCACTTTTTGATCAAACCATATTTGAAACCATATTCATTCTGTACAAAATGAGAATGATAAGGACTCAAAAATGAGAAAATGAGCTCAATATTTTTTCAACTTCCATATTTGTGACCTCCTGGGAAATGCAATAAATTGTAAATTATGACGGATGCACGTCACTGATTGGTTTTTTTTTGCTTGAAATGTTTGTGTTAAGAAATTAAAATGCAAGCGCTACGATATTACGCTTCAACCCAATATTTCCCCTTCTTCGACCTCCAACCTTATAGTAAAATCCTCCTTTAGCTAGGGCCTAACATTTCTTTTCATGGGAAGCACCTGACATTAAGTCGAGGCCCCTACAGGTTGTTTGATGATTCAACTCATTTTGGAGCCACAACTCCTTCCCATTAGATTACATGGTAAAGAGCTACTGATGGCTCATGTCACGAAAATGACATCCATTTTGAAGCCATTTGTTCTTCCATAATAATGCGGACAAATTGGCACGCCTCATATAAAAGCTTACGCTTCATTTTCTACCAACCACTTCCTTCCTTCTCAACTTGTTTGAAAGGTCACGTTGCATCTTGTCTCCATATTTGTGACCAGTATCATTAAGTCTATCGAATACACATGCAGATCTCCATACAGATTTCCGTTGAATCAAAAAAGACTTTCTGCTTACTAGCACCTAACAGCTTTCGAAAATTTGAATCAGTTTCCCATGTTATATCTTGTTGAAACATCGGCATTGTTGGTCGAACTGTTTGATTGCTCTGAAGGCAAGAAATAAGAAAAAAAAACCCCGACAGCCACTCCCTCAAACACCCTCTATACTTCACGACCTCCTCCCTATCCTCTCTTCTCCTCTCACGCAAGTTGTGTTTTCCGATCGTCGTTGATCACGTTCTTATAGAACGTGTGAGCGACTCAAGACCAGCCAGGTTCTGCAGGTATAAGTGTATATCGCTGCATACTCGGTGCACGTTGTAACGACGTGCACACAACCCCGGCTCGCCCACACCGGCGCTGCTAAACGCAAAATAATATTGAGCAGATGTCCTGTTTTATCTGTTCTCAAATCCAATTCAGACAAATCTCTAGACCACCGTGACAGCACGTGTTGCCGGGTCTGATTATGTGTAGTGGAGAAATGTATACCTACAAGCACATTATAATACCCGATCCACCGTTTTCAATCACACATGCATGCAGAGAAAGTTTGTTGTGGCCTTATTGCAAAGTCATCGACACACCTCCTCGCCCTCGACTGACCCGCGCGCCAGCCCGAAGCCGCTCAAACAGGAATCGCCGGAAAGTGACGCCGGTCGCACGCGATCAGCTGCCCGGGGTTCGTAACTGCGCAGTTTCGATGAGTGCGGCTCCACCGCACGCACACTACTTTGACGATTCGGAGCAGATGATTCTCATGGGCTAACTCATAAACAATCTGACCCCAGGAAATGTGGTACTTTATCTTATGTTAATTGCTGTTATTTAAACGGCCGAGCCGTTCGTGATTGCGATGTGTTCACCGAAGCAAATGTGTGCCCCCCCTTGCTCGCAAACACCACCTTGAACACACCCCACAGGCGAGACTCGACCCCGCCTGCTGCGTTTCCGGTAATGGCAAGTGCGCTACGCCAGTTATAGCTAGACCGGCCCGCGAATCCATGTGCATTGCCAGCTCAGTTTTTGCATGGTATAGCGTATGCCGATAGCTTGTCAGCACTCACAGCGAAACCCTTACGTGGTTGAGCCGGTTAGCCGATTATTCTGGCAATGAACCAGAGGGATCTAGCCCGGGCCTGGGGCGAAAGTTTTTTCACGGAAACCGCAGGCAATTCTTGTGAAGAGCTCCAAGATTAGTGTTCGTAGAGAGCGCACCTCTTTGTACTCATATTATGTGTCGGGTTGCACCTGAAAGTTAAGGTCGGCCGGACGGCTTGTAAGCTTAGTGCGAGACCAACCTGAGTAGAAGTATTAAAATGTGGAATAAATCGGTAAGTGCGTATGCCAGTCAATTCTGTAGCCCATCGATACGTGATGGTAATGTATTATAATTGTGAGTATTTATCGAGGGCCGATGCTATAAATAGCGTGGGTTAGACATCTATTCAAGTATCGGATTCAAGATGAGAATCGGTTACGAAGAGGCGGACGGAGTCAGCCTTGGCGTCCCTTAAGGCAGCGCTTCACAATAAAATGACGTTACATGAAACTCGTCGGCGCCCGCGCACCGTGCGCGCACCGTCGCGCGCGACGACCAAAGCGCGGGTCTTGACGATTCTGCTAGACGCACGCACTCCGCTGTTTTCTGACCGTGACTGCGAAAATTGGAGCATTTGCAGAGACACTGTAGAAATAACAAGAGCTAACACTGAATGTTCAACAAGCGCACAGGTTGAGCTCTCTGACGGCAATAGGAATTTTTATTTTCCTATTTTTGGTTTTCCATGTGGTGCTTCCAAAGAGGCTGCCTCTTACAAGGAGGTCTTATCAATGTGCCAAGCTTTTTCAAAACGGTCTTTTGCATAATATAGAGGCACATGCGGGAACCACAGAACCGTGGTTAATTTTTTCCTGAACGGCTCTCTGAATACCAGAAAAGGGGGTCCCTAGTCACACCTTTTTCACCAGTTTTTCAATCAAAGTCTATTTGTAAGGGTTACTGACGGTCCTAATCATGAATATGGTACTAATTATTCATGCTAACTCCATTTTGCGCGAATTTTGAAACGTCAACTCGAAATGCAAAAATTTGTCACCACGAGGAATCGAACTAGGGACCCCTTTTCTGGTATTCAGAGGGCCGTTCAGGAAAAATGAACCATGCTTCTGTGGTCCCCATATGTGCCCCAATGTCATGCAAGAAACCATTTTGAAAGGCTTTTCGCACCCTGAAAAACCTCCCTTGTTAGGCTTAGTTCTAGAAACTGGGAAATTGGTGGTACACGCTAGACCTTGCCTTCCGAAATCCTCATCCTCCTGTCAGAGGCCCATTCATTAACAAACACTATGCCTAACACAAAAGCCAGTACAAAATACAAATGAAGTCAAAAATGTATAATTGGATTGAAGCTGCTAACTTTTCCTGACCTTAGGGGACATTTCGAGTAAAATTGGGAGCGAGCAAACGCGTTGCTCCCGTGTCTTGCGATAACGCCGTCCGTTTTTTATCGAGTAGAGGATTATGTCTTTCAAAAACTTCAACTTATCGGCGCGACTTTGACTTTTCTGTAATGTTTACCAGTCAGAGGCCCATTAACAAACAACACGACTGATTAGCAAGAGGAACCGTGCCACGCTGTATTTCAACAGATGGTTCTTCTATATAAATACGTTGAAGAAGGCCGAGAACGCCGGTCACAGCACCATTCGTTATCTCTTTTTTTGGAAAGATTGTCCAGCTGATCACCACCCATCATCTCTACTACTTTTTTTCTCTCACTTCCGATTGTCAACTGTGTATGCGAGCTCACTAGCTCAGAATCTTTCTCCCTCGTTTCTCAACCTTTACATGACTGGATCATCCCTACTACAAGTCCTAGACCGTGTGAGGGCAGGTGAAACGATAAGTTGGATCTTCAAAAAGAGAAAATCTGTGAGCCAGGCGTCTGGGGGATCGATGTGTGAGACACTACCGCAGCGAAGTAGGCGCCTGAAGAGGACTTACGAGCAGGGTCAACCCTACGTTGGGACAAGTACCAACGGGGGGGGGTCGTAGTTTGTTGAGTTTGTTTGAGGGGGGTCGTACTTGTTTCGGTAGCACGAAATTAGATGAGAGCGCGCGGAAGAAAATTTGCCGTCTCAGCGTATGTACCCCCCGCCTCCGCTCGACGGTGGCTTTTTGAGGGAAAATGTAGTGATGAGGGAGGGGGGGGGTCGTTGGTAATCTTTCATGGAAGAGGGGGGTCGTAAAAAATTCAAAATTTTCAAAAATTCCCAACGATAGGACCGACCCTGCTTAGCCTTTGCCCTGGTGAGCGTCGCTTCATGAGAGCTCGTTTCCGCATGGCGAACACATATACCTAGGTTATTGGGTGATCACGGCTTGCCGTCTGGCGTTGTGAAAAGGTGGATAAATTTCGTTCCCATCGATGACGTCATCTGCAGCAAAATCTCGTCCAACGCGAAAATCAACGGGCGAGTAAACGGGTGACCATTCATTTAAAATATTACCCACTACCAAACAGTCTTACCATATGCCTAAAAGGACAAAGATGGATCTCAAATCCTGACTGACATTCTTCTGGAAAACGGTAGCACATTATCTGTTGAGCTAGCGGATTTCGGTAGTACCATTAACCCCCTCACTTTCGAAAGTCACCACATCTACCTAAGGGGACTCTCTTTCAATCTCCCATCAAAGTAGTCTTAGCATTTTTCTTTGTTTACTGGAATAGCCAGTTTAGTTGTTTTCGATGTAGATAGGAATCTCATACATTGATTTTGAGAACGAACAGTAGACACGTTTTTTTGGTTTGATGATTGGACTGTCCAGATAGTGCTTGTTGTCGAGAGTCCATTTTCTTATCATGCTTGTTGATCACCCTGTCACGTTTTTTGCCGTTAACCCCTCTTCCTCTTGTCAAACATAAAAAGCTGCGATCTTTGAGTTAGTCATTCGTTCCATTTCGTTCACGTCGTGAGAATGCCGAACACGGGGAGCTTTAAAAAGTCTCAACTGGTTCCTCCTCCCCTTCCTATAGCATAATTGTAATACGAAGACCCTTGGGGCATTCGCAGACCCCATGGAAACCTTGTGAGTGATTTTTAAGCCACAAATCTGAAAAAATCGTTGTTCTCATCCTATTTCCGAAACCTCCAGGTAAGCACTGCTGATCCCTCCCAACCTGATTTCCTCCCTCTTATGCCACTGACGAGTCAATTTCACGACGTACTTTTTTGTCAAGTGAAATATGACGGCAAAATAAAGCGATCAACATACAATAGTGAAATATTTTGATATTTATACCTTGACATAGATTATAA